CTCCCAATGAACCAGCCTCCAACTCCGTCCCATCTCCAAATAATGTCATCATATATTGCAAATCCATCAGGGATTAAACCATAAATAGGTTAGAACCCTCAAGATCCAAATTTGTTCGAAAGCCCATTACTTGGCAGCCAAACTCCCAATACATGAACTCTCAGAGATTTCCAATCCAAGCCATAACACATACATCCAAGCGAAAAGCTCTATGTGTTAAAGCAGTAACACCAAAAGGTGTGGAGATGACCCAAAATTCACTGTCCATCAATGAATAGGGGAAAGACTTATGGTGTATCCATCCACACAAGGAAATAGTCTTTGACAATGAAAAAGAAATACAATATTGACATAAGCTCAAATACAGATAAAACTTGAAAGCATCATGCTAAGCAAAATAAGCCAGTTCTGGATATATTGTATGAGTCCATTTACAGGAGCATATAGGATGGGTAAATCTATAGAAACGGTGTTTTTATCTCTTCAGAGGCGAGACTGAGATGGCTGGAAAGTGGGGGGAGGGGGACACACGGACAGCGGAGACACACGGACAGCTAAAGGGTATGGCCTTTCTTTCAGAGGTGACGAAATTTTTTCTACAATTGTGTTGTCTCACAACTCTATGAGCACACTGACAGGCCCTGATTCTACTCTTAAATGGGTGAATTGTGTGGTATATAAACTATGTCTCAGTAAACCTGTGTTTTTTTGAAGATTTATTTAGTTTTAATCACACCTGGGGGGGGGGGCGCTATATGCGGTATGAGTACAGGTGCCCATAGAGTCTGGGAAGAGGGCTATGGGCCCCTGGAGCTGGAGTTGTAAGCCATCCAATGGAGGTCCTGGGAATCTACTTGATCCTTAGCCAGAGCAACACACGCTCGTGACCACTGAGCCGTTGCTCAGCCCCTAAAACTGTTGTCCCAGTCCATGAAAGAACACACCAGGCACACTCGTGGGGTGTTTTTTTTCTTTTTTAATTTTTTTTAATTGTGTGTGTATGAGTGATTTGACTGCATAAATGTCTGTGCTCCATGTGTTTGCCTGGTGCCCATGGCCAGAGAGGGTTCAGATGCCCTGGAGTAACAGATGGTTGGGAGCTGCCATGTGAGTGCTGGGAATCAAACCTGGGTCTTCTGGCAGAACAGTCAGTGTTAACTGCTGAGTCAACTTTCCTATCTCTCTGTCTCTGTCTCTGTCTCTCTCTCGATTGCTCTCTCTCTAGCAAATAACAAAGATCCAGTTTGCCAGCTTTTTTTTTTTTTTTTTTTTTGGTTTTTT